ATAATGGCAAACAGCTAAGAATATTGTTGAAAATATATTTTTATATAGTTGAACTATGATCCTATATGCATATAGTATCAATATTAAAAGGGGAAGAGATAAAAAATTATAATTGAAAAAGGTTTTAGTGAAGTGTTGAATAAAACCTGTATCCCCATTGTTTAAGATTTGGGAATCACCAATGGTAAATCAAATTTATTGGGTGAGCAAGGGCGAGCTGAGGATTTTGCACATTATCTGCATGATAAAATTGCTTGAATCCGGGAAGTCTTGGACTCTGACTGGGTGGGTTCAGGCGGGATGTCCGAGGCGGGTCTTGAGAATGTTATCTGGGATGAGTTCGACCCTGTGACTCCCGAGGACGTGGACAGGATGCTGGGGAGGTTGAATGCAACCACATGTTTATTGGACCCGTGCCCCTCCTGGCTGGTGCTGGCTACCCGGGAGGTTACACGAGGCTGGCTCCAGAGGATTATAAACGCTTCTTTGAGTGAGGGTTTCTTGCCTCCCGCCTTGAAAGAGGCAGTGGTGAGGCCCCTCCTCAAGAAGCCCTCTCTTGACCCAGCTGTTTTGGCAAACTACCGCCCAGTCTCCAACCTTCGCTTTGTGGCGAAGGTTGTGGAGAGTGTGGTTGCGCGACAGCTCCCGCAGTACCTGGATGAAACTGTCTATCTAGATCCATTCCAGTCCGGCTTCAGGCCTGGGTACAGCATGGAAACGGCATTGGTTGCATTGGTTGATGATCTCCGGAGGGCTCGGGACAGGGGTTATTCCTCTGTCTGGTCCTATTAGATCTCTCAGCAGCTTTTGATACCATCGACCATGGTATCATGCTGCGCCGGCTGGAAGGGTTGGGAGTGGGAGGCGCCATGTTATGGTGGTTCTCCTCCTATCTCTCCGACCGGTTGCAGTCCGTTTTGGCTGGGGGGCAGAGGTCAACCTCAAGGCACCTTGTTTGTAGGGTGCCGCAAGGGTCAGTCCTCTCACTTCTCCTGTTCAACATTTATGTGAAGCCGCTGGGTGAGATCATCCATGGATTTGGGGTGCAGTGCCATCTGTACGCTGATGATACTCAGCTGTACATCTCCACCCCAGACCACCCCAATGATGCCCTTGAAGTGATGTCCCAGTGCCTGGAAGCCATGCGGGTCTGCATGGGGAGGAACAGGCTCCGACTCAACCCCTCCAAGACCGAGTGGCTGTGGTTGCTGGCGTCCCGATATAGCCAGCTGGTGCCATCGCTGGCTATTGGGGGTGAGTCATTGGCCCCCATGGAGAGGGCTCGTAACTTGCGCGTCCTCCTGGATGCATGGCTGTCTTTAGAAGAGCATATGACGGCCGTGGCCGGGGGGGGGTTTATCAGGTTCGCCTGATACGCCAGTTTCAGACTCCTTATGCACAGTCACTCATGCCCTCGTTATTTCCCGCCTGGACTACTGTAATGCTTTCTACATGGGGCTCCCCTTGAGGAGTACCCGGAGGCTCCAACTGGTCCAGAATGCAGCCGCACGGGTGATTATGTGGGGGACATGGCGCTCCCATGTAACACCTTTCCTGCGTGAGCTGCACTGGCTCCCAGTGGTCTTCCATGTGCGCTTCAAGGTATTGGTTCTCATCTTTCAAGTGCTCTATGGCTTAGGGCCTGGGTACCTACGAGACCACCTTCTGCCACCGACAACCCCCCACCGACCAATACGCTCCCACAGAGAGGGTCTCCTCAGGGTGCCGTCGGTCAAGCAATGTTGACTGGCGACCCCCAGGGGGAGAGCCTTCTCTGTGGGGGCACCCGCCCTCTGGAACGAGCTACCCCTGGGGATACGATTGATCCCGGACCTCCGTACTTTCCGCCGGGCTCTGAAAACCTTCTTTTTTCATCAAGCCGGGCTGGCTTAAAATTTTTAGTTGTTTTATGGGTAAGGGATTTTAAATTGGGGAAGCCAAATGGATTTAATTATGTTTTAAATTATTTTAATTTTCATATTGTATGTATTTTAATCCTGGCTGTTCACTGCCCTGAGTCCCTCTGGGAGAAGGGCGGTATAAAAATTTATTCAATTCAATTCAATTCAAATTCAATTCAAATTTAACCTTGCCATCAATCTTTGAATTGTAGCTTTCTGCTAATTATTATTAGGTAACTTCTGTCTAGTTTAAAGACAGAAATATCATGAAGGCTCACTTCCATAATAATGTAGGATATGATAACTCTGCTAAATAGTCTTGAGAATGTTATCTGGGAGGAGTTTGATGCTGTGACTCCCGATGATGTGGACAGGATTTTGGGGAGACTTAGTGCGGCCACATGTTTACTGGACCCGTGTCCCTCCTGGTTGGTACTGGCCTCCCGGGAGGTTACACGAGGCTGGCTCCAGGGTGTTATCAACGCTTCGTTGAGTGAGGGTCACTTCCCCATGGCCTTGAAAGAGGCGGTGGTGAGGCCTCTCCTCAAGAAGCCGTCCCTGGATCCGGCAATATTGGCCAACTACCGTCCTGTCTCCAACCTTCGCTTTCTGGCGAAGGTTGTTGAGAGTGTGGTTGCACGACAGTTTCCACAATTCCTGGAGGAAACATCCTATCTGGATCCGTTCCAGTCTGGTTTCAGGCCTGGGCACAGCACGGAAACGGCATTGGTCGCGTTGGTTGATGATCTCTGGAGGGCTCGGGACAGGGGTTGCTCCTCTGTTCTGGTCCTGTTAGACCTCTCAGCGGCTTTTGATACCATCGATCATGGTATCATGCTGCACCGGTTGGAAGAGTTGGGGATGGGGGGCACCGTGTTATGGTGGTTCTCCTCCTTTCTCTCCGACCGGTCACAGTTTGTGTTGGCAGGGGGGCAGAGGTCGACCTCGAGGCCTCTTATATGTGGAGTGCCTCAGGGGTCGGTGCTCTCGCCCCTCCTGTTCAACATTTATGTGAAGCCGCTGGGCGAGATCATCCGTGGCTTTGGGGTGAGATACCATCAGTACGCTGATGACACTCAGCTGTACATCTCCACCCCAGGCCACCCCAACGATGCCCTTGAAGTGATGCCCCAGTGCCTGGAGGCTGTGCGGATCTGGATGGGGAGGAACAGGCTCAAGCTCAACCCTTCCAAGACTGAGTGGCTGTGGCTCCCGGCATCCCGATATAGTCAGTTGACTCCATCACTGACTATTGGGGGCGAGTCTTTGGCCCCCCACAGAGAGGGCTTGCAATCTGGGAGTCCTCCTGGATACGCAGCTGTCCTTGGAGGAACATCTGACGGCTGTAACCAGGGGACCTTTTATCAGGTTCGCCTGATCCGCCAGTTGTGGCCCTTTCTTGATCGGGATTCCCTGTGCACAGTCACTCATGCCCTCGTGACCTCTCACCTTGATTACTGTAACGCTCTCTACATGGGGCTCCCCTTGAAGAGCACCCGGAGGCTCCAACTGGTCCAGAACGCAGCAGCGTGGGTAGTGACGGGAGCAGCATGGTGCTCCCATGTAACACCGCTCCTGCGTGAACTGCACTGGCTTCCGGTGGTCTTCTGGGTGCGCTTCAAGGTGTTGGTTATCACCTTTAAAGCGCTCCATGGCATAGGGCCTAGCTATCTTCGAGACCGCCTACTGCCACCGACGACCTCCCATCGACCTGTGCGCTCCCACAGAGAGGGCCTCCTCGGGGTGCCATCAGCCAAACAATGCAGGCTGGTGACCCCCAGGGGGAAGGCCTTCTCTGTGGGGGCACCTACCATCTGGAATCAGTTGCCCCCAGAGATACGGAGAATCCATGACCTCAGTGCCTTCTGCCGTGCCCTTAAAACCTTTTTCCAACAAGCCGGGCTGGCCTAATTCTTTTTAAGTGTTTTTAATTGTTTTGTTTATCGTTTTAATTAATGGGGCCAAATTTATATATATATTTTTAACTGTATTTTAATATTTGTATTTGATGTTTTTATTTGGCTGTTCACCGCCCTGAGTCCTTAGGGAGAAGGGCGGTATACAAATTCAAAATAAAATAAAAAATAAATAAAATAAATAAAATAAATAGTGAAAGTACTTATGCAATATACTAAAAGAGTCCAAATTAGGTCCCTATATACACTGCTCAAAAAAATAAAGGGAACACTTAAACAGCACAATGTAACTCCAAGTCAATCACACTTCTGCGAAATCAAACTGTCCACTTAGGTAGCAACACTGATTGACAATCAATTTCACATGCTGTTGTGCAAATGGAATAGACAACAGGTGGAAAGCATAGGCAGTTAGCAAGACATCCCCAATAAAGGAGTGGTTCTGCAGGTGGTGACCACAGACCACTTCTCAGTTCCTATGCTTTCTGGCTGATGGTTTGGTCACTTTTGAATGCTGGCGGTGCTGTCACTCTAGTGGTAGTATGAGACGGAGTCTACAACCCACACAAGTGGCTCAGGTAGTGCAGCTCATCCAGGATGGCACATCAATGCAAGCTGTGGCAAGAAGGTTTGCTGTGTCTGTCAGCATAGTGTCCAGAGCATGGAGGCGCTACCAGGAGACAGGCCAGTACATCAGGAGATGTGGAGGAGGCCATAGGAGGGCAACAACCCAGCATCAGGATCGCTACCTCCGCCTTTGTGCAAGGAGGGACAGGAGGAGCACTGCCAGAGCCCTGCAAAATGACCTCCAGCAGGCCACAAATGTGCATGTGGCTGCTCAAATGGTCAGAAACAGACTCCATGAGGGTGGTATGAGAGCCCGACATCCACAGGTAGGGGTTGTGCTTACAGCCCAACACCGTGCAAGATGTTTGGCATTTGCCAGAGAACACCAAGATTGGCAACTTCACCACTGGTGCCCTGTGCTCTTCACAGATGAAAACAGGTTCAGACTGAGCACATGTGACAGACATGACAGGGTCTGGAGACGCCGTGAAGAACGTTCTGCTGCCTGCAACGTCCTCCAGTATGACCGGTTTGGCAGTGGGTCAGTAATGGTGTGGGTGGGGGTGGGGCGCACAGCCCTCCATGTGCTCGCCAGAGGTAGCCTGACTGCCATTAGGTACCGAGGTACCGAGATGAGATCCTCAGACCCCTTGTGAGACCATATGCTGGTGTGGTTGGCCCTGGGTTCCTCCTAATGCACAACAATGCTAGACCTCATGTAGCTGGAGTGTGTCAGCAGTTCCTGCAAGACGAAGGCATTGATGCTATGGATTGGCCCACTCGTTCCCCAGACCTGAATCCAATTGAGCACATCTGGGACATCATGTCTCGCTCCATCCACCAACGCCACATTGCACCAGACTGTCCAGGAGTTGGGGGATGCTTTAGTCCAGGTGTGGGAGGAGATTCCTCAGGAGACCATCCACCACCTCATCAGGAGCATGCCAAGGCATTGTAGGGAGGTCATACAGGCACGTGAAGGCCACACACACTACTGAGCCTCATTTTGACTTGTTTTAAGGACATTACATCAAAGTTGGATCAGCCTGTAGTGTTTTTTTCCACTTTAATTTTGAGTGTAACTCCACATCCAGACCTCCATGGGTTGATAAATTTGAGTTCCATTGATAATTTTTGTGTGATTTTGTTGTCAGCACATTCAACTATGTAATGAACAAAGTATTTACTAAGAATATTTCATTCATTCAGATCTAGGACGTCTTATTTTTATGTTCCCTTTATTTTTTTGAGCAGTGTATTAATCATGAGTATAACCATGTCATACTCTTTGAGAACCAAAAATAAATTTATCATTCTTATTGGTTATAAGGGGCTGAATCTGACATGGGAAGCTTACATGATATATAGTACGTCCTTTTGCTCTGATTAAAATATCAGTTGGATAGATGTATGTAAAATGTATCTCCAACCCGATCAGTGGTGGGTTTCACATTTTTTTACTACCGGTTTTGTGGGCGTGGCTTGGTGGGCATGGCAGGGGAAGGATACTGTAAAATCTCCATTTCCACCCCACTCCAGGGGAAGGATACTGCAAAATCCCCATTCCCTCCCCACTCCTGTGGGAAGAATATTGCAAAATCTTCATTCCCACCACACTCTGCAGCCAGCCAGAGGTGGTATTTACCAGTTCTCCGAACTACTCAAAATTTCTGCTACCAGTTCTTCAGAACTGGGCAGAATCTGCTGAAACCCACCTCTGAACCTGATGTAAAAAAATGTTGAGACTCTAGAAAAAGTACAGAGAAGAGCAACAAAGATGATTAGGGGACTGGAGGATAAAACATATACAGAACGGTTGCTGGAATTGGATATGTTTGTTTAATGAAAACAAAAACTAGGAATGACATGATAGGAGTATTCCAATACCTAAGGGGCTGCCACAAAGAAGAGGGGGCTAACCTATTCCACAGAGCACCTGAAGGCAGGACAAGAATCAATGGATGGAAATTAATCAAGGAGAGGTCCAACCTAGAACTAAGGAGAAATTTACTGACCATTAGAACAATTAATCAGTGGAATGATTTGCTTCCAGAAATTGTGGGTGCTTCAACACTGGAAGTTTTTATGGAGAGATTGGACGACCATTTGTCTGAAATGGTATAGGGTTTCCTGCCTGAGCAGAGGTTCCAAGGTCCCTTCTGTTATTCTGTTAACCCAATCTCTAAGTTAAGTCACATTTAACTTATGTTAATAAGACGCTTTTCCTTTTCAAAAGTAGCATGGATGTTGTTGATAGTAGAATATAATTTACAATTTACAGCCCTCTCCCTCCATAGTGTATTCTAAATGAAATATTCATACTGTATTCTATACCATTAAATACCCTATCTTACCACAAAAAAGAAGAAATAATATTAATATTAACATAATTACAGTGGGCCAAACATCTTACTCTGATAGAGTTCTGGCCTTGCTCACGTCTTGGTTTCTGTGGAGATCTGCATAGGCTAATTACAATCAAAACACCATCCCTTACATGGGTGTGTGAATACATGTACGATGCACCTGATTCAAAATCCCAGGTGAAAGAATATAATTCTTAAAATGAACTGACTGATTTGGCATGCTGGAAAAAAGGAGAGATGAAGTCAAACTCCATTGTTAATCAGACAAAGCTCAAGCCAAGCAAAGAGTAAAGGGATGTCCCATTAAGCAGAGAAGATCACAGCAAGAAGACTTCCTCCACAAGAAATCTGTTCACGAAGAATCAGAATAATCTCTGGCCATTGTGAACAAGGTGTAACCTCTATTGTTCAGTGGATTTAGTTGTGTTCTATTCGGCAAGCATTACTTTTTATAGCAGATCTTCATGTTAAATGTTCAAAATGAGGAACATAAAAACTAAAAATACTTGGGATATCTTAAGGGCACTGAAACACAGTTTACTGTTAGCTGTGTAAGCTGCAACTTAAAGAAACCCAGGAACAGTGGTGGGATTCAGCCAGTTTGCACCACTTCGGAAGAACCCGTTGTTAACTTTCTGAGCAGTTTGGCAAACTGATTGTTGGAAGAAATCATTAGGGCAGAGAACCGGCTGTTAAATTACTTGAATCCCACCACTGTCCAGGAAGTAAGTAAGTAAGTAAGCTTTTATTGTGGTCAAAGACCAAATTAAAATACACATAGAAGGGGAGTATAATTTTACAAATATAGATAGATCATGTGACAGTACACCATCTACTGCCTTAGATCTGTACTAACAATACTAGTGATCCTCTGCCAAAGGGGTTACCCGTCTCTTCCCCCATTTTTTTTCAGCCACGACTGCAGCAAAAAATTTTTTGCCACCTTGGGAGTTATATTGGGGTCTGTGTCCTGGAGTAGGAAATAAAGGCTGAACAGATCAGGTGAACCAGGGAATCTCTGGGAAATAGGAGAAATGAATCTTGATCTTATGTCTCGGTAGTGGGGACATACGAATGTAATGTGGAACAGAGATTCCGGGGATCGGCCATCACATGTACAATAGATGGATTTTACTCCCCCCGAGAACCTACTGTCGAGGACACTCGAGGGGACCACGTTAAATCGTGCCTTCATAAATGCGAGCCTATGTTTGATAGAGTGTAACGTGGAGAGATAAGGTGGAGGGTGAGGCAAAGGAACAATACCAAGGGAAAAAGGTGAGCATGTTCCCGATCCGTTTGCCAGATTTAATTGTCTATCAATGTCGTCCAGCCGTTGAAAAATCAATGATTTGGCAGCATCAGGGCCTAAAGTAAAAGCTTCAATGGGGGAAATCGCGATCTTCAAAAGTTTTGTATGGATATTATGGGCCCAGGGACTATGAAAAGGGTCCCGCCATAGGCATTGGCCTAGGTAATAGCCTGGGAGTCTATTCCACAGGGACAACCAATAGTCAATTGCACATTTCCACAAGATTGTAGCAAGTGAGGATATGCCCAGTTCCAAACGAATTGTGGCATTACTTACGCAGGGAGGGACTCCCATCAAACGGTGTAGGAACTGGCTGTGGACAGATTCAAGAGAGGAGATGTTGGACTGGACCCATAGGGGGGCGCCATAGGTGATAGCAGCTATTACCTTTGCCCTGTAGACTTTTATTGCTGAGGGGATGTGATGAGCTCCCTCAGTATGAAAAAAGTGCACGAGGGCATGGGTGGAAATCTTAGCCTTATTACAGAGAGACTTAACCTGCGCAGGCCACTTGGTATTGAATTGAAAGAGGATACCTAGATATTGAAATCTGTGGACCTGTTCCACTAGGATGCCATCAAGGTTCCAATGATAAATTTTCCTGCTTCTTGCAAAAACCATGATTTTAGACTTAGAGTGGTTTATATGCAGTTGGTTAGCAGAGCAATAAGCAGAAGGATTTTTAAGGCTCTACATAGGCCTACCCGGGAAAATGAAAGTATTGCGGCATCGTCAGCGTAGAGCAGGAGCGGACATCTATAATCAGCTAATCTAGGGGCATGGATGTAGACCATGTGATCTGAAGATGCCTTTCTCCAGTCACTGATATATAAATTAAAGAGAAAGGGTGCCAGTATACACCCCTGCCTAACACCTTTGTTAACTGGGATAGCATTAGAAAGATCCCCCTGCAGGGTAAGGCGCACTTGTGCTTCTGTTCCATCATGCAATTGGGAGATAAGACAGAGTAATCTTTTGTCAATACCCCAGGCAGAAAGTTTGGCCCACAACTTAGCTCTAGGGATGCTGTCGAAGGCAGCCTTTAGATCTATAAAGGCAATGCAGAGACGACCCTTCCTGGGAGTAGAATATTTTATGGCAAGATGGTGGAGGATCAAAGCATGGTCAATTGTAGAGTAGTCTGGACGGAACCCCGCCTGCTCATAACCGAGCAGGTCGGCCTCTTCAGCCCAGCACTCCAGTTTGGACAGGAGATAGCGGGCATAGAGTTTCCCCAAAATTGAAAGAAGACTGATGTTACGGAAGTTGCCAGGATCGAAGTGGGCGCCTTTCTTATGTATTGGGATGATTATGGCATCCTTCCAGAGCTTGGGGATAAGGCCCGTTTGATTGATCGCATTGAATACCTCAGTAAGAACTGGGGTCCAGCAGTCCTTATGGGCTAGGATGGCTTCAGCTGGGATGAGATCCGGGCTGGGAGCTTTTCGAAGTTTGAGTTGTCCGATTAGCTTGGCAATCATGGATGGTTCAACAGGAGGCCATCTGGGAAGGTGGTTAGGAAGAGAGCCTGAGACGAAGAAACTGGCAAGTCAGTGTCGTAAAAGACTTGGCATAGAAAGAGTTCCCATGTAGTGGCAGAGATGGAATGAGTGAGCCTACTAGTTGGCCTCCTGTTTAACAGACACCAGAAATCTCGAGGGTTGCTGGATTTCGCGGCCTCTAATAATGCGTTCCACCTTAGCCGGTGCCAGTCTTGCTTAGCTCTTGAAAGGGCTAGCTTGTATGCCTTCTTGGCGCATGGGGGGGGAGGGGCGTCGATGAACCTGTTTGTTTGTGGGCAGAATATATAAATCTCATATGGTTCCTGGCTTGTTTGCACTGTGAGTTAAACCAAGGGGCTCCCTTCCTCCGGGAAACTCTACCAGGGATAAGGGTGGGGGGCTGAAAAGAGGCTATAAGACCGCTTAGACACTCAGTGAAGGCGGTCAGTAGCACACCAGGTGTGGCCTTGGTGCCGGTTAAGGCTGACAAGGTATTGGTTGCTTCTTGATGATAAAAGCGTGCGTGGAAAAGGGCCAGAGACTTTGACCATTTTGGCAACATCAAGAAGCCTCTGGGATTAGAGTCTATTGAGACAACGTGAGCGGGATGGCCTTGAGGTCTATATAGCCGTGCAACCATAATGAGAGGAAGGTGGTCACTGAAAATCCTGTCGTCTACTTTGAAGGAAGAAATGTATGGCCAAGTATAGTCTATTGTGCTGTTGCCCCCTATTGTGGGTAAATTCCCCAGGGACATCCGGGGCACATCTGCCATTAA